CTGCCTGGATGAGAATTCAATTTATGAAAACATGACTGTGAAACTCCATGAAAACGGAGCGTCTACTCACTGCATTGTGGTACGCTTCAAGTGATAGTCATCTTATCACCTCGAACGAAATAGGGTGAATACATCTCGATTTGTAAGCTGCATCAACCTTAAAGTCATATAATGTGCGTCCACAAGCTTGTCTTTAAATTAGCAGTATATACGAAGAAAAGTTGGGTTTCGAGAAATCGCTTGTTTTGTGATTGTTGAGCTTGCTTCCATTTCGAGTGAAAGTGCTTGGTGAAAAGATTCAAAGTTCGATTCTACCAAAAAGCGACGGCAGATTCCTTTTGACCAGCTGTCAATTTGCCTTACTGGAATATTCATGGGGACGCCAATTTCGAGGTAATCTCCTTCGATTCCGGTGAAAACGGGCTTAGCTTTAGTCCGTTATATGAAGAACATCATCAAAGGAACGTATCATCCTCACAACCAAATTCAAGCTAAAAAAGTCAAGAATTATGTGCATTTTCTGACTCGTTAGCTTGAATTTGGTTGTAAAGATGTTAATTTGCTTTGGTGACGTTTTTCACATGACTGACGAAAGCTCAGCACGCTTTCATCGGAATCGAAAAAGATTACCTCGGAAAAGGGGTCAAAATGAATGTCTTAGTAAAGACAATCGACAGCTGGTCAAGAGGAATCTGCCGTCGTCCTCTGGTGTAATCTACCTTCGAATCTTCTCACTAAACACTTTCACTTTAAATAGGTATATTCAGTATTTTATTCAAGATTCATGATTTAATCTTGACTCTTGGTATCTCATGATAAACTTCCAAGACTTATAACTCCTTTGTGAACAAACGTAAATCAAATCAAGTGCTTCTCGAAAATTATACTTTAAACACACATTTTCAAGAAATAGCCATAAGGGATAATTTGCTAGCAAACACACCGTCATAAATGTTGAGTGATCTTTCTTTTGCAGTTTTATATACTCTGACCGTTTTAGTGGCACTAAGTTCAGGTTGTATTTTCCAGAAAACTAACACCACAACAGACTTAAGCCTAACCGAAACTTAGTGAGCTAAACCTATCTGCAAATAGACGATTAAGTTTCCTTTCTTGCCCATTTAAACTACCTTTCAGGTGCAACAATATCTGAAGTTGCGCACCGAGTCCTTGCATTTAGCCATCTCATTGGTTGACCACTACTGCTGGCGGCAACGTCGATGTCAGCCCTCGAAGTACCAGCTGGTGGGTATCACGGCTCTCTTCATCGCCGTTAAGTTTATCGAGCGGTTCCCGCCCTCCACAGAAACGCTCTGTTACCTCACCGAGCATTCTTTCAAGCAGAAGGAAGTAAGTGCTGTACATTTGGTGTTTTCGAGAGGTTTAACTGGGTCTAGTCAAGAGGTGGAATTGGCCCGATTGGTTCAAATGCATCGTGAATCACGAACCTCAGTCGACGCATCTACCGGCAGGCGGGATATAGGATATGACCGTAATAACCGCGAAATCTGTATATTGTGCATCTGGTACAGATTACTTCGGAAGCACCGGAGACAACATATGCCAATGATGTCGGCCTTTGATTGTGTTCGCTTTCAGAGAAATAGACGAACATTTATTGGGACGAATTTATATACATCCATTCGATGATCTGGCTGGTTGACTTCACTAGTTACCACAGTTTTATTACAGTTTGCCATTATTAACATGAAACCAATTGTAGTCCAACTGACAGCCTGCCCCCATGCGTAATCGTCTTATTGAGCTTTGAAGCACTGGAAGAATTTTCTCTTAAATGACCAAGTACATCATCTTTCGGCAGCCATTTTCATCATTTACACTGGATTAGATATTTCTTAAAACCAAAAGCCCATTTGGCTGTATTTTCATTTCTTAAAGCTTTATTCAAGGTTTCAAGTAAGCTGATTCTCGGTTCTGAATTAAAGAGTTTAGGATGTAGAACAGACCATTGCTGGGTAGGAAGACAATATATTAATACCACCAACACTTATCGCTATGAAAGTCTGGCGAAGATATTCAGCAAATATATCCGAAAAACGGTCTGCAGAAGTGAGCACATGTGTGGCGGAAGTTATCCTCCCTTTTGCCGGTTATTGCTACGGATTTTCCCATGTTGAATGAAAGAGGTCTGCTTTGGTCTTTTGAAAAATAACACCATGCCAGTTTCTTCCAGCCCTCAGAGTTTGATTCAGACCTCACTGTGCTGGCCCAAGGAAGAATGAGGTAACATCAAACAATTCACAACCGTATTGCCATATTCAGTAATAAGGAAAGTTTCTCTTTGCTCATGTCGATGAAGGAAATATACCAAGTGGGTTCGCAGCGCTTCGTCGCTTGTTAGCACTTGGACTTTAGTTGCTACCGCGACGAACGCACCTGGCCTGCTATCATCTGTCAGAGTAGCCATGATAGTGTTCAGCCCCGGATAGTAAACTTGGTACATTCCCAAATGCTCAGCCGGCGTCGTCAATAGGCAGTGGCAATGTCAAAGGGAAAAGTTAAGTCCGTCTCTTGACCAACTTCCCGCTGAATAGTTGTGGTATCTCTTCTTCCGTTTTCATACCTTGGTCTATCCTATATCTTTGTATCGCCCCTTTCACTATCACAACTTCTAATCTGCTTACTCTAACCTACTCCAGAGGTGTGTCATTTTGAGTGGATTTGGTGAGGCCCCGTGTTTCTCTCATTCCCCCTTGTTCTGGACCTTTCAGTCTGCAATCGAGCCTTTTTAGCCAAACTTTGCTCGCTAGATGAATTGTCTCATGATTTTATTTGGTATCTCATGCTTACGCCACATTATATCGGATGAGCGATATGATTGAGGATGGTATTCGAAGTGGATAACGCTATGGCTAAACAGCCAGAAAGTTGACACGTTAATTTGTGCCTGCCTGAGAGTGCGAGGTACATTTTAGCCCATAATAATAGCTTATTTTCCATTTATAAGTAGATTTTCGATACTACCATTAGATCATATATATGATATATACACGTATAGCTACATAGATAGATACATTGATATAGATATATAAATTAAAAATATGCAATCTGGTCAATTGCTAGATCAATTGTATTCAACCCACCTGCAAGATATGATATAAGAAAATACTTTGCCTTCCTTGAAATTTACTTCTGCCCTCTGACCTAAGGGCGTTCATGGCAATGTGTCGTAGTTGTTAACGTGTCGAGATTATGCACTGCACTGTCATGGTTCGAGTCCCGCAGTGGGGTGGATAAGACCAAGGCGAGGTCAAAACTGCAGTCCACTCCTGGCTGGATGAGAATAGCTTTTGTGAAATGCTATGGAAACGTAAGGTCTACTCATATCATTGTGGTAAATTTCAAATACCGGTTCTCGTATCACTTCGAACGAAATAGGGTGAATATAGAGGTTGTTTGACCTTGTTTTCGCAACATGGTCATATTGGTAGGAAGACTTAGAGGAACGCAACTAGTCCGGGGTCCATTGTCTGCATGATCATTTCCAAAATTCCAAATGATCATGCAGACAATGTTGCGAAAACAAGGTCAAACAACCTCTATACAACGAATGGAGACTGCGACCACACAAAAGGCCAACCATCTTGGTCTTCATACCTTAGGGTGAATATATCTCAAATAACTATTCACTAGAACTTGGTGAATTCCAAGACGTTTCGCCGACATCGTATTCAACATCGTCTGTGCGCTTGTTGCTTCGTTTCAAGCTGGCAAAACTCACTGATGCTGCCGACTATGATGTAGGAGAAAAGCTTAGGAATTTCCCAAGTCTACTATCCATAGCTTAAAACTACCATAACTACTATGGCAGAGGACTTCAGACAAGGCGTGTTTAGCCCGATCTCCATGAAAACATATCCAAGTTGCTTAAATAAGGCCAAACCAGTTCGATACGATGACGGGTGACTGCATACGGATTTGAGGCCACACGCTTAGTCTACAAACCTAACTGTAGGTGTAAACGCTTAAAACGCAAGTAGGATGCTTAAATTAGGCTATGCCTTTGTCATTTAATCTTCACGAAATAGATTAATGGCCTTTCGTACTTGGCATGTGAGCAGTTATGGTCTAAGCCCAATATTTTCAGGCCGATCTGGCTTGGGGGATCTTCGAGGGTCGCGAATGAACATAAAATAAAAGTGACGCTAAATATCTGCGATCTTTGTCCGGTGGGCTCCGGAGTTGTCTCTAGAACCAGGCAAGCCAGAATTCGCTTTGCTAATGCATACCGATTAGTGTATGTAGGTTCGCTAAATCTGCACATGTCTTTGCATTATTTGTAGGTCTTGGATTACGAATTTCATGTACTTCAAGTGCTGGACTTTCAACTCAACGTACCATTGCCGCATCACTTCCTGACACGTGCTCTATCTGCCTGCAAAGAGTTCTCACTGGCGGACAAAGAGCATGTAAATTTATGCCATCGCCTTATACAAGGCGTTTAACAAACATTTTCATTTTTCATATTTTAATCAAAAACCTACTATTCTTTTAGAGATATACGCCTAATTGACATCAGGATTTAATTTTTTTTTTTTCCTTGTCTCCATCAAAACTCGCCATTTTTTAGCCGTCCTCCGTATGTCACCAA